CAGCGGGAATGAGGTGATTCCCATAGGCAACAGTTATTTTTGATGCTGCCAGCTATATTTCCCATGTTAATAAAGGCCATGGCATTCATGCTCACAAATTTACACTTCTGAAATTGTTTAATGCTAATCTTCTACTTGACAAAAGTATTGGCAAATTTGGAACATGCTGACTCCAAGAAGACAAAACTATGCCAAGTTTCTATCCAAAACAGCATGCATCTTCCTTATCCGACAATAATAGATTCATCATGAAAAACAATAGCAGAAATGATGTCTTTTTGCAATCTGGATAACACTTCAGACTAAGATTTTCTGATTTGAAATAATTTTACTTTACAGTCCAGTTAAATCAAAGGTAAAATGCAAACACTGTTAAATAAAAACAACATCCGTTTATATGCTTGAGATAAAGCAATTATTATAACCACCTCGTAGTTTAGTTGTTATTATTCCATTTTGTAAATGAGGAAAGTAAGGCACAGGGAGATAATTTGCCTCAAATCACAACACAGCTCTAAAATGAAAGAATCAAAATTTACACACATGTTCATCTAATATTAAACTCCATGATTTTGACTAATATACTGTGTTTGCTACCCTACATATTCATAAAAACTTGGGATAATAAAGGTGAAAATCATAGGTTCCTACAATAACATGACCAAACTCTATTTTTTTAGCTAATTAATTCTATGTTTAAGATCCTAGACAGTAATATTTCAACGTAACTGGGCTAATTTGAAGTCCTACACAACCATAAAGTTCTTTACTATTGTGATGAGTGAACGCTGGAAGTAGCCTCATTTTAGTACACTTAACAATTCAAAAGCTTCAATAATAGCTATGAAAACTCTAAGAGATGCTCATTAATAGCCGTAATAATATTTTCAAATTCTATGTCAACAATAGCACTCAAGATTTAAAAATTCAGTGAAAGTATGACAAATGTTACTAATAACTTACTTTGCAACCTCCGTGTCGGGCTCTCTCCGTGGAGCTGTCTCCGTGACATATATGGAGAAGGGTGGGGAAGTGGCAGTGAAGAGACATCATGGGTCTGAAGTTTGTACCAGTGTGGCTCATCATCTAATAATGCCGTTTCTAATTCAATTAAAATCTACAAGCCCAAGAGACAAAGGATATTATTCTCTTCAATAATGAAGAAAATCCCTTTCATGGTTTTATAACTGTTGCTGTGATAATAGTAGTAGTACTGTCCGATCAAAAGCAAGGTCTTTTAGATGTTGCAAAATTGTCAATATATTTTGACAACTAAATAAAAGATAAACTGTTACAACATTTTAATGATACAATAGTTTTAGGTATATAAGATATTAATTTTGTTGACTCTTGATCACTTAACTGCTGGAGGCTATTAAATTTTCTGTTACAGAAATGGCACTTTTTATTCAAAGCTTCTGTAATAACTAATTTTTATATGCCATTTTATAATTCAATAAGCATTTATTTTGGAGAGATTTTTGTTTGTTTGTTTGTTTGTTTTTTGCTATAGGGCGCATGCGCTCGCCAGAAAGACAGAGAGAGACAGAGAGATAGAAAGCAAGAAATCATCCCCTAGGGGGGATGGCCACGCCGCAATCCCTTCTCCATTCTCCTCTCGGGATCTTGGGCATGCACACACACGCACCCGGTGTGAGTTTAAGCCTCCGGGTCCAAGACTTGAACCGTGGTCGGCTACATGGGAGTTAAGCGACATAGCCATTATGCTAACTGCTGATCCCTCAATAAGCATTTTTATTTATACTCACTTATGTAACTTTTGTAAGAACTCTTAAGTAATGAGAAAAAAAATTAAAGTTCCTCCTATATATTAAGAATAATGCTATGTTATTTATGTTACTTAGAAAAAAACTACTGGCTTGGTTTATGATTTAAATTTTATAGATATAAATACCAATGCTATTGGTATTGTTTAAGGTCATATTAGGTTGTAAGTGAAAGAGGTGTAATATAAATCTGTTTGTCTTTAAACTCTATGCTCATCATATTATGCTGCTAAGGACCCAAAAGAGTAAAAAAGTAGATTTTTAATATGAACCATTCATAATCTAGATTCTATAAGATGAATGTTTTAAAACAGTACAAAAATAGTCTGTAGAAATAAACTATTTTCTTTTAAGATATTGTGCAAGTATGAATATCTGTGCTTCTGATTTTAAGAATTGCTATGTAAAGATAAATTACTATTTAGCTCCAGGACAAAAAGAAGCAAAACAGCTAAATTATTATTTTACTCTTTCTAAATATCCCCTAATCACATTCAATATTTTAATAATTACAATGCTCCAAACACTTACACACACACATATTTTCCTCAAGTTGCATTTTAGTATCCCACTTGATTGAAGAGAAAACTGAAGTATGGATTGGCTGAGTAACTTGCTCAGGAACAGGGGGAGAAAGTGGTAGTGACAGGAATGGTGACCCAGGTTGCTGGCTCCAGTCTCTGATCCTAACAACTGTGTTACCTTCTTTCAAGTGGTTTATAGGTTTATTACTCTCTGGTTCCTTATCTGACAACATTCATTTTAATATTTCTATATATTGTGGTTTTTCCCATAAATTGACCATTTAATTTACCCAGGAAAACTAACCACACTGGCTGAAGAAGTGCTTCCCATCTTGCCCCTCTCCAATTCATTCTCTGCAGTACAGCTGGAAATGTCAAGCCATTTGCTTTTTAAAATCTGTCATTGGCCCTTATCCATTATCCATTGGATAAATCAACATAATTTTCTTACATAATATGTTAAGAGACATGATTTGATGTCAGTTTAACCCAGTAAGTCATTTTCTTATCATTTCTTAGCCATTTCCCCTTCCAACTTCGATGCGATTACCCAACACCTTCTTGGTCCCTGAAGTTTTGTTATTCCTTCTGCGAGAATTTCAGTCTTCTTGGCTTTGTTACATTCCACTTTCTTCCTGGAGATGTCCGTTAACCATCTCCCCTCTCCTGCACAACAATTATGTAATCCTATTGCCTTTCCCTGTCTATAGCAATCAGCATGCTCTCTTATAATTGCTATGCATTGGTCTCCCCAGGAAATTGTAAATTCCTGTAAGTATAATACGTTTTTTTCACCTTTGAAGCCTCATTCTCTAGTATACTGGCTTTAAAATTAATAGTGAACAAATTAGTTGATCTACCAAACTGACCACGAATAAATGGTTGAACTATTTAGTAGTGATATAGTTGGTCAATAAACTAGCAATACTGTAACAACCTTATAAAACTAAGGAATATATTTGAGAAATAGAAACCAACTTTTATGATTTAACACTGAGATTTCTATAATAAGAATAAGCATATAGGGACCAAAAGACGGCCTAATGGTTACGTCAATGGACTCCCACATAGTCAACCACAGCTCGAGTCCTGGACCCCACCTCATCAACCCCCCACTTAAAATTTACAGCATGCACATATGTATGTGTGCCCAAAATCGTGAGATAATGAAGGAGAAATAATTGCAGTATGGCCATCCCCACCAGAGGGTAATTTCTCTCTTCTTTCTCTCTCTTTGTCTCTGGCGAGTACATGCACCCTATAGCAAAAAATCTCAAAAAAAGCATAAGCATATAAAAATTGTCACAAAATACTTAAAAATCTTGTTTTCTCTGATATTAATAGGTTTTGACTCAAAATCATGGCTATATTCATTCCATAAAAAAATTATGCTTTTTCAGATGGTCAAAATATAAAATTTGGGACCAGTAGTTGGCATAATGGCCACATCACTGGACTCCCATGTAGTTGACTGCGATTTGAGTCCTGGACCCAGTGGCTTAAACTCACTCCAGGCACGTGTACATACATGCCCAAAATTCCAAGAGGAGAATAAAGAAGGGATTGTGATGTGGCCATCCCCTCTGGTGGGTGAATAAATAAATAAATAAAATTTTAATGGTAGTACCCAGGGTGCCATGAAGAGTGTAAATGTTTAAAAATATATAGTTCCAGATACCTCTCCTAAGAATTCACTTTCTTCCTCTCGAACTCGAGCTTGATCCCAAAGGGTAATCTCCAGCATTCTTTCCCGAAATTCTCTTCGATGGACTGGAGAATAAATGAATGTTTGGTTCCATTTGGGTTCCAATGTTTTCTTTACTGTTTTGGTTCTTCTCTTGTTTTTATCACTATAAAGAAATATATATATATATATATATATAAATATATTTATATATATGAACTTATGAGCATTTTTAAATTGTCCTAAAATTACTAACTTGAAATTTCTCAGGAGAGAAGTCCTGTAAAGTTTTACTACAATATTTATCATGAAAATACATTAAAATATTAAAAACTTTAAAATTACTATTAAAATTGATTAGGTCTGTAACTATATCATACTCTATATTTTATAATAGGAATAGTTCCCCAAAAAAATCATGTTTTCCAATGATAGATGACTGAAACCTCATCTTCCTCAAAATCTATGTAAGACAAAGTAGAAAGTCTTAACTTCAAAATGTGTTAATATATTACCTTATGAGTGACCTTCCAAACAGAAATTAACCAGTAACCTTACACATACTATTCACAAACTACTGAATTCTTATTGTACAAAAAGATGACTAAATTGTCAACTGTCCAGTCCCAGACCCAGCTGCTTGATAAATATTCTAGGTATGTATGAAAGTGTGGCCAAAAATACCAAAAGAAGAAATAGAGAAGAAGGAATTGTGGTGTGACCATCCTTCATGAGAGGTGGTGCTTTCTCATTTTTTTTCCTCTCTCTCTCCCTTGCTCTCCTTCTGTCTTGCTCCATCTCTCTCTGGTGAGTGCACCCACCCTACAGCAAATTAAATAAAAAATACTAACTGATAATGAATTTTGCTAATACACAGGGAAAAGGTATTAAGTAACCTATCCTTATTCATTTTAGAGGATTGGTGGAAAAACAATTTTGCAAACCTGTGTAGAAATTTTTATCTTTGCAGATAAACAACAAGTGAAACTATACATAAGAATAGCTAAATAAAAAAATCGGAAAAATGACAAGAACTATGATGTATAATCTCATTCTCTCCCACCCTTTTAAAATTTTAACAGGTGTTTATTTAGTATCTACTTTATTCCATTGACAAAAGAATGAATTCTGAAATAAAATTCTTTCCATGGATGCCAGGAAGAAAAGATTTAACAGAAGCATTACTGTCTAATTTAGGAATTTATGCCAAAATCTGAAAGGGAACAGTAAACCATTAATTTCTTAAGGACTAAAAATGTTCTTAGACAAAAAATGACTATTTTAGAAGAGATTTCTGTGTTGAGTAGAAAGAGGGGGAGATAATCCTCTTCTAGTTAAACCTAACATACACAATTACAAATCAAATACCTACGACTACAATTTAATAAGGCAACTTAGTGTGTACCAATGCACTGATTCAGAAAAGCAAACATTAATAATAACCATATCTTCAGTAAGTTAAATAATGAGATTTTTTTCCTAGAAGTATAACCAAAGCCTTCAGAACCAGCTCATTCTGTATAACTCAAATAATAAAAAGATACTAAAATATCTAAAAATTAAGATCAATAAGCATGCTCTAGAAATATTTTAAATAACAGCCTAATGATAATAAAATAAGTAATTATCTCTAAAAACATCATTAAATTGTTGAGAATATAGTTAATTTTTTTCAATTAAAATTCAACCAAAAGCTTTTCTATTTATTCTCATGTTATAGATACAGTTGGTTTTCATTAAATTTAACTTAGTAACAGCACAAAAACTTGATGTTTTTATTCAAAAATTTTTTAAAAAAGCAATATACATACTTTGACTGATAGCTAACTTTACATCAAGATTTAAAAAAGAGGGACCAGCAGATGACATCATCGTTACGTCACTGGACTAGAAATGCATGTGTGCCCAAATCCCCGATAGGAAACTAGAAAAGAAGGAATTGATTGCAGCATGGCCATCCCCCACACCCAGGAGTGATTTCTCTTGTCTCTGTTTCCGACTCTCTGGAGAGAGGATGTGCCCTATAGAAAAATCTCTCTAAAGAAAAAAATTAAAAAAGAGTGGATGGTGCACCCAATTACAAAATAAGTGTTTCTTTTCAAAGGTATGAGTAAGTATACACTACATTCTTGTGTATTTATGAAAGCATAAATGGGAATACAGCGTTTTCCATGTGTTTTGATCATGGCACTCCGAGGATGCTTAGACTAAACCCTTGAGTCCTCTAAGAAATCAAATGGCTTCTTCACTAAAATGGTAAGGTATTCTGACCAAGACATTTGTTATTCAACTGAAATTCAGGCTTTATTAACAGCTCTTATTAGGATGTCCTTTTTCCCCATAATTCAATGTGTATCTCTCTCTGAAAGACAACCTAAGTTGTTAGAGAACAATTTCTTTCCAGAAAACTGTAAAACTAATTTATATAGTGCGTGGTTTCTAATAACTTTAGATGTTGTGGCACTCCAACATATTATGAAAAAATTTGTTATATAACTTTCACTTCAAAATATGTATCAAATAAAATGTAAGACATGTGTTAACCATCTGCTTCCTTTCCTTTGTCTTTTCACTTGCCGAGACTATTCTTTATAATAGTTGATACTCTGCTACTGGTACTCAACGCAATCCTGGTAACTTTCTTTTTTTTTTTTTTTGGAGAGATTTTCGCTATAGGGCGTGTGTGCTCGCCAGACAGACAGAGAGAGACATTAGATACAGAAAGCGAGAAATCACCCCCCAGGGGGGATGGTCACGCCGCAATCCCTTCTCCTCCATTCTCCTCTCGAGATCTTGGGCACATACGCACACGCACCCGGCGTCAGTTTTAAGCCACCGGGTCCAGGACGTGAACCACGGTCGACTACGTGGGAGTCCAGCGACATAGCCATTACGCTAACTGCTGGTTCCCAATCCTGGTAACTTTCTACTTGAACTAAGTAAATGAAGGTCCAAAGTGTTTGAACATGTTTAAAAACTTAAGATCTCAGCTGTGGGCTGAATCCATAGCATAGTGTGTAAGCATGGTGCATATGGAGGTGGAGTCCACATGGCCTACGGCAGTTAGAATCCTGGTCCAGTACTTTGAAAAACATTTTCTAGGATAGGAAATGTGTGTGTATGCATGCCCCCAATCTTGATGGATGGAGAAATGGAGAAAAAGAGATTGTGACATGACCATGACTCCATCTCTATCTCTTTCTCTCTGTGTCACAAGTGTGCATACCCTCTGGCAATTAACAACAAAAAAGAAAAAGAAAAGAAATAAGATACATCTACAGTCAGCCACTTTCAACTTGAGGAAAAAATGTCCAGACCTTGCATCACTCTGTTGTGGAAGCCAGATATGATATGTAGGGGGAAAGGTAATTAGTATCATTGCTTCCTTCTTTGTCATGAAACCTATGGAATAGTTTATGTTTTTATGCACCTGAAATTAAGAGTGATTAGATTATTTACAATAGTTCTCCAATACTAATTTCTCTATAAATTAGGGAGTTTAAATTATATTTACTAGAATAGAAACAAAACAAATAATGTTTGGAGAAGCTGTTTAAGTGCCCTTCAAGTTTCCTTGACAATGTGGAAGATGAAATAGAAAACACACTTATTAATTTTAATTTTATATAATAGAGAGACATAATATCTTAAGAGAATGTAGTCATTGTAAGGAATACATTAAGTACTTTATAGTACTATTTCCAGGTTTTTGACTCTCTAGTTTGGTTTAAAGATTTTATTTTTTAAAAAAACTATTTATTTAATTTTATTTATTGTTATTATCATTTCCTATAATGCACATATAGCTCACCAAAGAGAGAGAGACAGAGATAGAGAAAGCAAGCTGCCAGGTCCAAGACTCAAACCACAGTTTGTCATATGGGAGTCCAATGCCTTAACCACCACATCACCTGCTGGTCCCTAAATATTTTGTTTTAAGAAGAATAATTTGTAATAATTTTGAAAAAAAAAGAAGTTATTTAAGAATTCACACAGGGGCTGGTAGGTGGCATGGAAGTTGAGGGCACTGGACTCCCACATGGCCAACCATAGTTTGAGTCCTAAACCTGGCAGCTTGCTTTCTCACTTTCTCTGTCTCTCTCTCTCTCTCTCACTCTGTCTCTCTCTTGTAAAATTAAAATAAATAAAGTAAAATAAAAATTCTTTTAAAAAATAATTCACACATGGCCTTTATTTTAATAAATATCCAATAAAATAATATATAAAATAAACATTTAATATAACTTTTAAAACAATCTCAAATATTTATTATCAACTACTTTAATTCTAAGGATTGTTATGCTTGTTAAATCTCATAAGCATTTGACTGGTACGACAACAAAGTAAAGCAACAGAATTAAAATATCCATAACTATTAACATTTTCCCACTTATTTTGAGGAACATGTATTTTTGTTTCATATCCTACCTTCTGTCTGGAAGAAAGTAAATTTTAACATAAGGATTTCTTGGCCTCCCATCTTCCCTGGAAGGGAGATCCTTTGCTCCCAAAATTGTAACTATTAATTGGTGACCAACCTTGTCAAACCATAGTTTTATCTGAAAAGCAAAACAATATTTATTTATCAGTTCAAATATATATTACAAAAACATGTTTACATTTCCAACCTTTACCCCATCCTCATATACTAATATTAATTCTGAATATAAATTTTACTTAGACTGCAGTTAGTTAAAATAAGAGGATATACTATAATAACTTCAATGAATAAAATAATTAATTCAGATGTTCAATTTCATTGATAAGTCACTTGGATTTTTATTATCCTAATATGATTGCTTACTAAGTTGTGCATAATAATTACATTACTGTAATTAAGGACTTTATATACAAATTTTGCTCTGTCTTTCCTTACAAAAATCACTATAGTTCATTTTGATTCCCCTGCAAATGGAGAAAAAGAGATTGTGACATGACCATGACTCCATCTCTATCTCTTTCTCTCTGTGTCACAAGTGTGCATACCCTCTGGCAATTAACAACAAAAAAGAAAAAGAAAAGAAATAAGATACATCTACAGTCAGCCACTTTCAACTTGAGGAAAAAATGTCCAGACCTTGCATCACTCTGTTGTGGAAGCCAGATATGATATGTAGGGGGAAAGGTAATTAGTATCATTGCTTCCTTCTTTGTCATGAAACCTATGGAATAGTTTATGTTTTTATGCACCTGAAATTAAGAGTGATTAGATTATTTACAATAGTTCTCCAATACTAATTTCTCTATAAATTAGGGAGTTTAAATTATATTTACTAGAATAGAAACAAAACAAATAATGTTTGGAGAAGCTGTTTAAGTGCCCTTCAAGTTTCCTTGACAATGTGGAAGATGAAATAGAAAACACACTTATTAATTTTAATTTTATATAATAGAGAGACATAATATCTTAAGAGAATGTAGTCATTGTAAGGAATACATTAAGTACTTTATAGTACTATTTCCAGGTTTTTGACTCTCTAGTTTGGTTTAAAGATTTTATTTTTTAAAAAAACTATTTATTTAATTTTATTTATTGTTATTATCATTTCCTATAATGCACATATAGCTCACCAAAGAGAGAGAGACAGAGATAGAGAAAGCAAGCTGCCAGGTCCAAGACTCAAACCACAGTTTGTCATATGGGAGTCCAATGCCTTAACCACCACATCACCTGCTGGTCCCTAAATATTTTGTTTTAAGAAGAATAATTTGTAATAATTTTGAAAAAAAAAGAAGTTATTTAAGAATTCACACAGGGGCTGGTAGGTGGCATGGAAGTTGAGGGCACTGGACTCCCACATGGCCAACCATAGTTTGAGTCCTAAACCTGGCAGCTTGCTTTCTCACTTTCCCTGTCTCTCTCTCTCTCTCTCACTCTGTCTCTCTCTTGTAAAATTAAAATAAATAAAGTAAAATAAAAATTCTTTTAAAAAATAATTCACACATGGCCTTTATTTTAATAAATATCCAATAAAATAATATATAAAATAAACATTTAATATAACTTTTAAAACAATCTCAAATATTTATTATCAACTACTTTAATTCTAAGGATTGTTATGCTTGTTAAATCTCATAAGCATTTGACTGGTACGACAACAAAGTAAAGCAACAGAATTAAAATATCCATAACTATTAACATTTTCCCACTTATTTTGAGGAACATGTATTTTTGTTTCATATCCTACCTTCTGTCTGGAAGAAAGTAAATTTTAACATAAGGATTTCTTGGCCTCCCATCTTCCCTGGAAGGGAGATCCTTTGCTCCCAAAATTGTAACTATTAATTGGTGACCAACCTTGTCAAACCATAGTTTTATCTGAAAAGCAAAACAATATTTATTTATCAGTTCAAATATATATTACAAAAACATGTTTACATTTCCAACCTTTACCCCATCCTCATATACTAATATTAATTCTGAATATAAATTTTACTTAGACTGCAGTTAGTTAAAATAAGAGGATATACTATAATAACTTCAATGAATAAAATAATTAATTCAGATGTTCAATTTCATTGATAAGTCACTTGGATTTTTATTATCCTAATATGATTGCTTACTAAGTTGTGCATAATAATTACATTACTGTAATTAAGGACTTTATATACAAATTTTGCTCTGTCTTTCCTTACAAAAATCACTATAGTTCATTTTGATTCCCCTGCAATACTGAGTGCAGAATAAGTGCTCAAAATGAATTGTAACTTGTTTATATGACATCATAGGGGATGTTCAAGTTAAGTGTTTTACATTATTCTGTAGCAAAAGATATTACAACGATTATAAGCAAAGGGAATTTACTAGTAGCTTTAGTCAATACATTTTTTCGGATTGTACTTAAAACTATAACTTCATCTTATTAAAACTTTCTTACTCAAACATAAAATATCTTTCTCTTTTGTGAGGCAAAGGCATCACGCCCTCAGAATAATGAGAATATATTTTCTAACTTGAGAAAAAGAGAGCGTGAATAATTTCCCTATGCCATAATTACTGATTGGAACTTCACATCCAGCTGCTGCATTCATTTGATTTAACAATTATTGCCTCCCACATATATACCTCCCACTTTCACATCTAGCTAGCTGACTCTGTTACATCAGGATTTATAATAACTATGGCTCTGATTCACATCTTTGTTCAGAACTCAGCATACATCTCTAACTGCTGTCTTGAAATGGAAATAGAACCAAAAACATGGAATTTTAGAATAACAGGTAAAAAGCAATTATGGTGATATAAAAATGACTGGCAATTCAGTTCCAATGCATTTTATATTTTCAAGAGAGATTTCTGCTATCGGCATGTGCGCTCAACCAGTGACAAAGACAGAAAAAGAAAGTGAGAAATCATCCTGCACAAAGAATGGCCATGCCGCAATACTTTCTCCTCCATTCTCCTATCTGGACTCTTATTTGTACACACATGTGTACAGTGTGAATTTAAAGCCACCATGTCCGAGACTCAATCCTTGTTCAGTGCCTTTAGCACTGCGCCACCAGCTGGCCCCACAGTTCCAATTCTAATACGGCTATTGTCAAGTCTCTTACTTCATATCCTAAATAATGAGAGATTGAGCAACTTTCAAGTCAGAAGAGGTACTGGTAATCCCATAAAGTAAACAAAATTATTTCTGTCCCCCCCCCTTTTTTTGCCAAATAAAATCATCCCTTCTATAGAAATTAGAGTAAGAAATACGCAGTTTTTTAAATTTTAATCACTAACTTTGATGCTGTGTTAAGTCTTTATGTAAAATGCAGGTGACATCTTGCTATCGCATAACAATAAGTTTTCCTAATAGAACCGAGCACAAAATTACACCCTAGACAAGGGTTTCTTGACTGTGGTTAACACACCTCATACTGGGCCAGCAGAAGACATAAATTGCTGGACTCTACAGCTGATCTCTATTCAAGTCTCAAATCCAGTGACTTCAAAATTACTCTGGTCATGTGTGCATGCGTGCCCAAGATCCCAGGAAGAGAATGGAGGAGAAGGGATTGTAGAGTGGCCATCCCCCATGGTGGGTGATTCCTTACTATCTTCTCACTCTCTCTGTCTCTCTGTCTCTCTCCCTGGCAAGTATATGTGCCCTGAGGCAAAATCCTCTTTAAAAAAATAAAGCTTCATACAACAAAGTTATTTAGGTTATATATTAAAAGTGGAAAATTCTTGGGGTCCCCTTCACCTACTGAAATAGCTTTCCCAGTCCTTGAAAGTTTGAGAACCACTGTCTAAGAGATCAACTATCTCAAAGAAAAAAGTCCCTAATATTTGAAAAGTTCTAGTATTTGTCTATCCAACAATCTCTTAGAGCAACAATACAGAGAAGGAAAAGAGAGGAACAAGAGTATAAACTATCTGACAAAAGATATGAGGGGAAAACAAAGAAAGATAGGAATGCAAGTGTCTCATTGTATATGAGATGAAAGAGATGTTGTAGACAGTGTCATGATTCCTCTGCGATGTGTGACCAAGACCAGATTAGTTTGTACGGTTTTCTCAATTTTTTATCAGTTATAAAAAGCTTATAGTGTTATTTTTCCCAAGATACTAAAAATCCTTTTCTGAGGATCATGACATGAATCCACCTCATTAGCCACCTCAAGGAGAAAAAGATTCTAAAATGCTAAAAAAAATCTTTTCTGATAAAATTTACATTTAAAAAATAAAAATACCATAATCATTATTATGAGACTAAGCAAAAAACTCAATGGAGTGAATTATTTATATTGGTGATAATTTTTTTGAGAGTTTGGGACAAAGCATTTGTCACCTTGTCCACAGGCAATATTATTGCTCTTTTAAAATGATTAAAGCTAAACACTAAAGAGATATTTCAAAAGCCTGGCACAGTATTCTTTTCAGATTTCTCTATGCCATTAAAAACCAAAAAATATCACTAATATCCATTTCACATACAAACATATATTAGAAATATGGCTTTTATACTTTTGTAATAATATGATATTGTTTATTAAATTATACTTCATAAATATATAAATATTAAAGTAGATATAAAACAGGAATATATTACTTTTACTGATTATCTGATTGAAATGATACTTTTTAATAAACTACATAAAATTTGGTGTTTGATTAGTAGTCCTTATTTTTATTTATATTGTAAGACTAGCATTGAAGTTTTTAATAGATATCCTTTCACCTCAGCAGAATTATTATATTAGCTAGATTATTTTATCATGTTCCTAAATTTTTTATCCATGCATTTTAAATAAATAAACTATAGCTATTAATTACACAAGATATAACAAATATAGCTCCATAAATCTAATCTTGACATACTTCTTGTTCTACCTCAATTTCATTTTAAAAGTCTTGGTATCATTTTGTCTTAATATAATATTATTCACACTTTACTATGTAACCATTTTTAATTTTCCTAAGTATAACCAGAGGATGATAAGGAAATATTTTATATTAATTAGAATAACTTTAATTTTTATCATTTAAGCAAAATAAATATTATTTAAACCAACAAGTTTTTTTAAAAAAAACATGCAGCAAAGCAAGGAAAGCATAAAACTACATTTTAAAACACTATATTTACATAACCTTATCATATAAGAATTTCCTAATGAAAAGAGGCAAACAACTTGTACCCAAATATCACAATACAATTAAATGGAATTATAATTACGAAAGACAACCAAAATGAGCCCAAAACATTTTATTTGGATTGTGGTTTTATTCTTTCAAAATAATATACTTTCCAAAAGTTGAACTTTATATGTAATATTCATAAAATTCATATTTTGAGTAAGGTACAAATTTATTTGCCAGTCTCCTCAAGGATTTATTGCTTGGAAAATGCAAGAAGATGTGGATGTTAAGTGAGATAATGAATGATTTAAAGAGACAGCAACCTTAGTGAAATGAAAAATATTAACAATATAAAATTAGTTATTTCTGTAAATGTTACATATATATGTAAAATCTACATGAAATCTACATTAAATGCCACTATAAGTTTTAGTATTTAGTTCATCATAAAAAAATCACTAACAAAGATTGTCTCTTTAAATTTTTATTCAGTATTCTAATCCCCATGCAGAATTTTACAAGCTGGCTCATAAAATGATTTGAAAGTCAATAATATGGTTTGGAGCAACATACCAAAAAAAGTTTTCCTACTACGCATTTTCCAAAAACATACAAATAAGGGTTAAAACACAACTTCAGTTTCTATCAGGCAGACAAGGCCTTTACCTGAACCCTAGGAACAAAAGGCGTTGTTCTTCTACTAAGGCTTTGGCTCTGGTAAGCAAAATTAAAGAAAAAAGCAATAAAACAAAACCAAAAAGGACAACACGCTCAAACTAAAACACCAAAAGTAAAAACAAACACATACAACTATCCCTTAAATACAATTTTCTATGACAATATTCATCTAAATTAAGTGCTTCAATGTAATAAATAAATAAAATTCCCAACTGCTAAAATACATAAAAACTTCACAAAATATTAGAATATATTTAATCATATTTTTTAAAAGTAGCCAATATAACAGGAATTAAGACTAAATTAAAGTAACATTCGGGCTCATATATTCTGTAAGAATGATTCTAAGCATAACCTAGGCATGAAAAAATTTCAGTATTACCATTGAACCCACTACATAGAAAAAGCAAAATAAAAAATTTAAACGGAAATGCATTATATAATTATCAATAAAAAGCCATCTGCATAAGTAATTGTATGAATTCTCCAAAATGAAATTAATATAATCACAGTCCAAAAAATATAAGCCAACTCACATTACATTTTCTGAAAAGAATAAACGCATTATGATAGAAGTCTGCTTGGATGCCCTGGGTTAATTAGTTGACCCATACTTGAAGATCCTATACCAAGTTCTAGTACTTAAACACAATCTTCAGACATTTATTAAGTTCATTGCTAGTCACACCTATTAATGACAGGATCTCATTTCTTTTTTACTTATACCATTCTCTATGTTTTTCAGGCCTCATTGACAGTTTACTCCAAGTTTATTGTCTCATGATATCTCAAACAACCCTAGGAAATAGTTTATTATTCTCAATTTGCAGATGGAAAACAGACACATAAAATGGGACTAAAAGAAGGCTTGGAACCAGTTCTCGGTCATCTGAAAAGCCAGGCCTGATAACAGGTGCCTGCAGTATTAGCTACTCAGGAGGTGAGGAAGGAGGATCACAACATAGCAAGAATATGTCTAATAAAAAATAAATAAATGAATAAATAATTTTAAACAGAGGCTAGATACACTTGACCATACTCAAACAAAAAAAAAAAAGAAGAAGAAGAAGAAA